GATACCCTACTTCTAACCCCACTTATATGTACCCATGAACCTGCAAGTAGAACGGAGAACTCATGCTGCAATGTGCGGGCTTAAGGCGTGGAGACTTATAGAACCCACCCCGTCGTCGGGCTCCCGACTATGATTTCCTTATAGAGGCCCTTAGAAAAGGTAGGCTCTCCGGGGTCCAAGTAAAGTTTAGGATTAAGGCTTCGGGCTTCGGGCCGCAGGCTGCAAGGCGCACACCAAGGTCCTGAAAAGGGTAGCCCTACTCGGGCGCCCCGGTTTGGGGTTTAGGGTTTGGGGGCGTGCTGAAAGGGGGCATATGGTCGTCAACATAGATCTAGCGGCGGGCCCCAAACCTTCGACAGTAAACCCTGAACCCCCGCAAACCCTCAAACCCCAAATCCCTAAACACCCGACACCCTAAACCCTGAAACCCTAAACTCCAAATCCCTAAACACCCTGACACCCCACGCACCCTACAGCGATCCCTCCATCAACCAACACCCATCTTTCCTGGCAGATACGCCGAAAAGGCCACGCGACCGGCAGACGTTGTGGTACTTGTAACCCAGCTCCTGGAACAGCCGATAAGGTGCAAACTAGAGGGTTTAGGGTTTAGGATTCTTCCGTGCTTCTGTAGGTGTCCCAAGGGCTTTCATAGCCAAAATGCATGGCGTCGTATGTGGCTAACCTACTCTCTACGCCCTCCGCTTGGACGGGCAGCTCTCAGCGTTTGCGATAGCAGCAATGGCAGTGGGAACAACGATTCCGCAGCAGACCCCGGAACAAAACAAGAAAGCAACATACGGCAACCTAGTTTCTGCGACACTAGAAGCAACGGAAACAATTATCTATTTTGTGGGTTGTCTGACACTGTAAACTGACATATGCCCCCAAGGACAAAACATCACAAAAGTGTAGTTTTTCTTAGTTCTAAAGGCTCCCAAGTTATGTGACCCTACGGGTTTGTGGTTTAGGATGGTTTAGGACTCCGGAATCCATGGTTTCTCTCGGGCAGGCGGGTGGATGCAGGGAGCTTGAAATTCGGGCCTTGGGCCTTACTCCCTCAACCCCCAAGCCGCAGTATTACTCTTCAGTTTTGTAAACCCTAAACCCTAAACCCTAATCCTTTTCCCTTAACTCCTGAGCTTAAGCCGTAGTTCCGGCAACCGAAAGCTCCCAGCTTCTTCCCTCAACAGGCCCTGCATCCTAAACCCTAAACCCTAAAGCCTAAACCCTAATCCCTAAACCCTGATTCTAAACTTTAACGAGCTGCCCGGTACCGTCAGGAACACGGGTTTTGGGTCTACGATCGACGGCTTGAGGGTACTTGTAGTAGAAGGGTTTGGGATTCGGGGTTTTGGGTTTGGGGTTTAGGCTTAGGGTTTGGGGTTTAGGGTTTTGGGTTTCGGGTTCAGGGTGTTGGCTTCAACCTGAAGCTGAAAAGTAAACCCTAAGCCCCGGAGCTGGCTGGCCTGGTACGCCTTCACTCCGGCAATGTCCTGGGAGAGCAGAGCGCATCAAAGAGTCATGTCGGTCTAGTCTTCGGGGAGCCTTGAAAAAAAACTGACCCTCTGGCAGCTGGGTTTTTGAAGCTTCCAAAGGCTCTTGGAGATGTTTCCGATTTTTGGAACTCTGCGGAGACATCAAAGGCTCGACTTCGCTAATTTTCGGGATCTCGCGTAGCCGAGGTTTCCTCACCAGGGCGCGACTATGTGGGTGTTTGGGCCCACCTAGGAGCCCTCGAAAAAGCTGCCTACGATGTGGGCACGTGGACGCTTCCGGGACCCTAAGAGCACTGGGACCGAGGCAGAACCCTCTCTGCGAAGAGGCCCTTCATTGGCTCATGCCTCGCAGCTTGAACCTCAAAGCCTAAAGCCCTGTACTCTAGACTCCAAACGGTTTTTCCCCTGGCCCGTAAAC